CACTTCTTCTGCCTTTGAATCCAAAAAGGTCTCCACGGGCCGGATGAGAGGGCCTCGCGGGCCGCATCCGGCCCGCGGGCCATAGTTTGGAGACCCCTGATTTAGACGATGGCATAGAGAGTACACTGATAACGTTTCCAGATGACACAGGGGTTGCCAGTGATTTGAAGGATAGGATTATAATTCAAAATGATATAGAAAAACTGGAAAAATGGTCTGAGGTAAATAGATGTATTTCAATAAGGATAAGTGCAAAATACTCCATTTAGGATGGAATAGTCAATTGCACATACAAAAAAATGGGAAATGACTATATAGGAAGAAATACTGCAGAAAGGAATTTAGGGGTCATAGTAGACTACAAGTGTGGCACTGTTGCCAAAAAGCCTAAAGAACATTCTGGGATGCAACAACAGGAGTGTTGTGAGAAACACACAAGACATAATTCTTCCCTTCTACTCTGCCAGTTTTGTGCACCACTTTTTAGGAAAGATATGGGCAAATTGGAGATGTTCCAAAGAACAACAAAAATGATTAAAAGTCTGGAAAACATGACCTATGAGGGTTTGTTTAGTCTGAACAAGAGAGGACTGAGAGGAGAAATGATCACAGCTTTCAAATACCTAAAAGGTTGTTACAAGGAAGAGGGAGAAACATTATTCTCCTTTACTTCTGATGATAGGACAAGAAGCAATGAGCTTAAATTGCATCAGAGAAGAGTTAGGAAGTTTTTCCTAATGTCCAACCTAAGTGTAAAGGTGGTTAAGCACTTGAATAAATTGCCTAGGGAGGTTGTGGATTCTCCATCATTGGAGATTTTTAAGAACATGTTACAAAACACTTGTCAGGGATAGTCCAAATGGTGATTGGTACTGCCATGAGTGCAGAGGACTACACTTGATGCAAACTTAAATTCTATTATTCTATCTTCCTTCCAGTTCTGTGATTCTATGAAAATGCCTCTGTCTGGAAGCATGAGTGCCCAAAGACACCCTGAAAAGTTTTAAATTGTCTAAAATAAATAAAATAAATAAAATTATCATAGGCATTGACCTAATAGAATACACCAGTGAGCTGGAGTTTGATTCTGCATCAGTAGCAGCTTTGTCACTCACTTCAATGGAAGTAGATTTCTTTCTTTGAAACTGGATGCTTCAAAGTGACACGTAAGTTTTTTGAAATGTCCCTAGTTGTATAATATTGTAACAAGAAAGGAATATTCCTGTCTCACTCTGTAATCTTATGTCCTTACTGCAAGATTAGTCATGGGGATAATTTGTATTCTTTGTAACCATGTGCATAACTATATATGCTAGATCCCTGATGTTGCTCCTATTGTAATCATATGAAAATAAGAACAGCTGTATGGGGTCAGACCAAAGGTCCATCTAGCCAAGTATCCTGTCGACAGTGTCAGGTGCTTTAGAGAGAATGAACGGACAGGTAATCACATGATCCATCCCATCACCTATTCTCAGCTTCTGGAAAACAGAGGCTAGGAACACCATCCCTGCACATCCTGGCTAATAGTCATTCATGGACTTCATGGATTTATCTAGTTCTTTTTTGAACCTGGTTGTAGCCTTGGCTTTCACAACATCCTCTGGTAAAGAGTTCCATAGACTGACTATGTGTTGTGTGAGGAGTTTATTTTGAAAACTCCTGACTATTAAGTTCCTGTGGTGACCCCTAATTTTTGTATTATGAGGAGCAAATAATACTTCCTTAATTACTTTCTCTACACCAGTCATGATTTTATAGACCTCTATTATATCCCTCCTTTGTTATTTCTTTTCCAAGCTGAAGAATCCCAGTCTTACTAATCTCTCCTCATATGGAAGTTGTTCCATACCCTGAAGCTGTATGCACAAGTCATTGACGTTAGTGGGAGATCTGACTTAGTAGAGAGTGTGTGACCCACTGGCAGATCTTTGACAGTTAATGGGAACAGATCTCTTTGTTTGTTAGGGAACACAAAATACTATTTCACTGTCCATGCATCATATCCATGCACTTTCCTATGCCAATTATAAACTAGAGGCTATTTTTTCAAGTCAAAGGGAAATTATTTCCTATTAGTCAATTCTCCCTCAATCTGTATTTTACTGCTATTGCTCTCAGGGCTAGTGCATATTTATATGCTATACATTTTCTGTGCATTATAATACCTTGCATTGCATAACATTTGAGGGGGCAAATTCTATCTTCAATTACACTGGAATAAATCTGAGGAAACTCCAAATATGTGTCAATGGAAATTTTGATAAGTAACTCACATTAGTGCTACTGAGAATTCTGTTAATTTAATCAGAAATATTAAAAAAATACATACTCCATATTGAAATAAGAACACAGTATATATTGAAACATGTGCACTGTAATTATCTGCAGTGTATGAGAAAAGTACACACATTAGAATCTGAAATAATATACTGAAGTGCAACAGTATAGTATGGAGACATTCACACATTTTGTGCTGCACTTTGATAATATCATTCTAAAGCTAAATTTGGAGATGGGCCCAAGCTATGCAGTTTGGATAAACTTGAGGGAAATTTGAATGTGTGAGTGTGGTGAAGTTTTGGATTTTAGTTTGGCCCACTATATAGAGGACTTAGTCCTTAGTACTGCTTGAATTTGTAACAGAACCGTCAGGGCCACCATACTGGTGGGAGTACCCTGGCCATATCTCCTTCTGCTCTGGCAAGCACTCTACACTAGTTTCATGGCAACTGAGCATTGCCTCACCTATGGAGAAACTTCACCTGCTGCTCATTTAGAGCAACCTTAAGTCTTTGTGCTACCAGACTGCTCTTGGAAGACAGCAAACTGACAATTCCAGAGACTTAGGGTTTCTTTATTAAAAAAACAAAAACAAAAATAAAAAAACCCTTGACACATACCAACAGCACAAGCAATGTGTAATCTTCCTTCCATTGCCCTGCCAAAATAGTTAATCCTAATCAGAAAACCAGCCCTAGGGATGATAGGCTAGAGTCTTTGGCCTTTTTACTTGATCCAACAACAACAACAATAATAATTAATAATTAATAATAATAAATATCTATTGTCACCTAGACATCTCTGAAAGTGAAATAAGGCCACCAACCCATTTCACAGATGTCTTTGACTAGCTAGTAGATGGTAACAACCTTTATGCACTTCCAGCCATGACTGGATTTGAATTGTAAGTGCAGTAAAGGTCATAAAGTATTAATGAAGTTCTTAATTGCTTAGAAAGAAGCAGAACTCTGACCCTGGTTTATTAGACTTAATAATTCCCTATGTGATATTCCTTCATCTATCCTGGAGGAGAAGAAAACTGGCATTCAGCCAGGGACAAGAGTTCTTGGTTTCCCTGAGTATATCCCACAGAATATGTACAAAATATTTCAATAGTAAATCAAAGTTTAATGGACAATTTATAGGCTGATATTTACCACATGCAAGCCTTCAGACATCACTAGAAAGATGAGAAGGGGTTAAGATTTTGACATCATGTGGATATTTTATCATAATCAATTTTTAGTGTGATATCTGGAATATTATCTTAAAAGATAAAGAAAAGAAAATGTTTATTTTGAAATAGTAAACATATTAAAGAGAAGGGGAGGAAAACATATTAGAATGGAAAAAATATTAGTGAAACTGTTAGAAAAAAACAGTACAAGTTATGACTAGAGACATTCAGCAATGAAATAAAAAGGATGCATGCAAATCATATTGTATGACTGTGTTGTGAGTACACAAGTAAGTTTGCTATTGTACACTGAATAATAATAATATACCTGCTTAGTACATCTTTTTTTGCTCTGTTTTGTAATATAACATGGAAAGTAAAATACAATTTAAAGTGTTCTGCACACAGTAGCTCATTTTCAACTTAGCAATACTTTACTTCTAATTACAAGTTTTAATTCATGGGATCTGACTGATAAATAAAATTTCTCAAATATTTCAGTTACTGATACCATGTGTAGTGGCAAACATGCAGTCTTGTTTTATACTCAA